ATTAAAAACAAATATCTAAGCACATTCATACAAAAGATCATTTTTTTTTTAAATTATTTGTCCAACTTGTAATAAAATTTATTGCAAGTGTCTAATACATTTATGTACATGGAACTTATGCAAATTAATATAAAGTTATGTGTACTAATCATATGCTGACTTACGGCTAATGGATGGAACAATTAGAACTTAAGAAGTGAAAACATTTTTTTTTTATCAATTAACTGTTAACACACATTTTTTTATTTGTATAAATTTGTTGCTTTTTCTTTCGTTTTCTTTTTTTTTGCAGCGTTAAATATATGTATATCTTACTTTATTTACTTGCTAAATACATTCGGCTAGCTATAGTAGCATTAAGGCATATATAATCGTTGAACGTAGATCGAAATCACTTAACCTAATATTTATGCTATATAAAAATTATGATTTAATTAGCTGAAGCGCTTAAAATATAAATACAAATTAATTAATTGTTATGATAAAAAAAAGAGGTGTATGAGTGTAGTCGATATATCGATAATGTTTGTGATGATGCGTGTGTATACTGTTCTGTCGTTCTTACTTCGTGTTTTCTTCGCTTCAGTAGTACGATTCGTACCACTCACCCCTATCTATCTACATTGCCGTCTCCAACGGCTGGCTATAGCTGCGACTGTTCGTGCTTAGCGGCACCATACTCGGCGATTCATCGTCGAAATCCGTCTCCAGCAAAGCTTCCGATCTGGAGCGATGGTATGCCGTCGGTTCGGGACTGGCAGTTTTATAAACAGTCTTTGGACGTCTACCATTCTGGCTGCCATTTTGGCTGTAACCGTGATTCTTGGCGGCCGCCGTCATTGGCTTCGTTGCGCCCATAGCTTGCGGCTTAGAGGCCACACCCAACTTCGCGTTGGACGGCGGTGGCGCCTTACTACTACGCACCGCTGTATAATAGGAATCTGGCCGCCGCATATCGGGTGGCGGCGTCGGCAGTCCACCAGCAGCCAATTCATGCCGGAATAGTGGCATCTCTTCAGCGCGCTGCGTGACAGGCGTAAAATGTAAATTATCGATCTTCTGTTCGTACGGCAGCGTACTGGAATGCGAGTCATTGCTCAATTGTGAGCTGCTTGTGGGACGCGTCGTCCCACCATTGGCGCCGGGCAGAAAACTGCTGTGACTTTGCCGATGTGGCTTATTGTAGGCGGGTGGTGGTAAATTCTGCTTCAACTCACGCAGGAAAGAGAGGCTCTCATTGCCGCCGCTGTGTAGCGGCAAAGTGCTCGCGTTGCCGTAGTAATCTGAATTGGCATCCTCGATGTCCGTCTGATGTATGATGGGCGTATCTTCGGCAATGCTTGTGGCCACAGAAGTTGTTAGCGTGCTAGCGTAAGTGGAGTTGTCACGGAAACCTTCATTGCGGTAGGATAGCTCGAATGAGTCTGGCAGCCTAGGTGTGCGACCGCGTGCGGTGGACGCCTTCGAAACGGAGCCGATTGTTGCAATTTTGTAGGGTTCATTCGATTTGGTGGCAGCACCATTTGCTCCTCCCTTTACCGAGTGCTGAGTGACATAATCGTTATAGCTCGGTTTTTGATACTCGCTCGGGTGCGCCGTTTGATTGTCGTATGCCTCAAAGCTCGCTTCGGAGCTAAGCACGCTTTTGTCCATGGAATCGATGGAGCCGTTACCCATCATTTTGTAGTCTTGACCCAGCTGCTTGGAGAGCGTGCCAGTCGACGTGGACATGTTCTAATGGACCAAAGATATTGGTAGGGGAGAAAATAAAAAAGTGGAAAAATAAAATGATAAAATAAAAACAAAATGAAATATAAATTAGGGTATAATAAGGAAATAAGGACATAAATATTTTATAAGTTAAAATCAGTACACTATTGGGTGAAATCAAGGAAACCGCGTCGGTATTAACACAGCCGAATCTGAATTTCCGGTCGGAATTCGATCGATGGTAAATTTTTTATCTTACATATCTAATCTTTTTTGGGTTAGAATGAAAAACGAAACTCAAATACGCCAATCGCTTAACACAAACTATGCAGCTTATGGATTGAATTGGAAAACATTGGGTTCAAAGGTAGTAAAGTCGAAAGTAGTTCGGAATGTTGCGCATCGCTGGCTTCACTGCGTCACGTCCGAACCTCTCTCTGCTGGGTTCGTGAACTTAGCAATAACGAAGGGAACGAAATAACCAAATTAGCGAGGCAGATAACTTCTTACTCCCACCGATTTCTGATTTACTAAGGAGTGTTGAAGAATACACAACAGCCGTAATTAATGACCTATGGATCAATCGTGGCGACTGTAAAATTCCAACATCCTTATGGCCGAGACTCAAGCAATACTGAAAAATTTTTGAATCTTAACAAATCTGCAGCAAGAGCTTTTACTGGCGTCATCCCAGGGTACTGTACTGATGGCGTATGTCAACAAGCTCTCTCTACAGAAGTTGTCTGAATGAGAAAAAAGTGGATTCGATTCACCACTTCCTGTGCCAATGCCCAGCTTTCCAGACAAGGTATCTCAAGCATTTGGAATCACGCTTTTTCAATAGTTTGGGGGAGATAGCGGAGGTGAAATGCTTTAGAACACTATATTGACTATATGGCATAACTTCGATTAGAAGCATATGCCTTCTCCTGGCACTCATAGCTGGCATTCACAATGGGAGAATCTGCTCCCGAGAGGAAGCACGATTGATTCGTACGCGCCTTCCTTACCTATCAATTCGCACAACACAATTTTTCAAGGGTCAAGGGCCAGTTATCTAATAACCTAAATCATCCTATGTGTAAAGTTCAACGGAAAGAATTGACGAAACCATACGCTGCATCACGGAAAACCACAGTAGCGGAGCTATACAACTGCCTACCTAACGAAAGAGAGAAGGAGGCTTTTTAAGCTAACTAAGCAAACCGGCTCTTGGAAAGCTTACAAGACACACTAAGAACCTTCAGAACAGCCGTAAAAATGGCGAAAAGTTATTGGTGGGAAAAATCTGTTATACATATGCAGAAGAAAATTCTGGGGCTAAAGGTTAACTTGAAGTGCTCACAGAAGGTTCAGACACACCATATTCATCCAGCCCAACTGCTTTTGAGTCTCCAGACTATATATGGCACCAGAAGATATTATCAGCCATACAAAGATAGATGGGCAATCAATTGCTTCAAACCTAACAAGTGTCTGGGTTTGTACGACATATCACTCGCCGAGCTTTAAGCAGCATCAGCTTTGTTCAGTCCTTTATTGACTTTTACCTATAAGGAACCCGCATCCCCAAAATGTGAACAATAGTGCGAAAGGGTTTCATACAACAAAAATGCAGATCCCCTTATGTGAAATCAAGAGACTTTCGATCTATAAGCTTTTATAATGTAACCTTTATTAACTGGAACAGGAGTATCGATCTTCTTCAAAATTGCCACTTTTTCAGCAATTCGCACCAGAAAAATTTTATATAAACAAGTAAAAAATCAAAAATCGGGCTCAACTAGTCTCTTGAAAATTTTATAAGCTTTTATTAAAAAAAAATTAATCAAATTGGTTGAGAAATGAAGGCTCTAGTGAATTATGAACATTAAATTCCATTTATTAACTACTGTGTGATGGCTCTATGCTGGAACAGAAGGTAGGTGTGGTGTATACTCGCATAAAAATTTACTTAGTAAAAAAGAAAGTTTCCGAATTACCACATTACTGATATGCGGTTCAGTCAAGGTAATGGCTATTAAGATGCCGCGCTGATGCCTAATCTTTAACTAAGAGAAAAAATGACATTCTCGGTCAGTCAAGACGCTATTAAATCTATGAAACAGTGCTTGGCTGCCTCTAAAATAGCTTTCGATTTAAGACATATTCTAAAACTACTGGCCTAAAAGTACACCGCAACATTGATTTGGGTTCCAGGAAACAGAGATATATCAGGTAACTATGGGTCAGATAAAATCTCCCACGCATCATCGTGCAAACTGTGACTCTAAACCCAATTTATCCATGGAACAGAGTCGGAAAGAAATATGTAAATAATAACAGAATAAATAAGTTAATAATAATAATAGATTGGCGCTTACACATATGTTAGTGTTTGGCCGAGCTTCTCCTCCGATTTGTGGCGTGCGCCTTGATGTTGTCACACAAAGCGGAGGGACCTACAGTTTTACGCCGACTCCGAACGGCGATTGTATTTTTATGAGAAGCTGTTTTTCATGGCAGAAATACACTCGGAGGTTTGCCATTGCCTGCCGAGGGACGACCGCTGTTAAGAAAAAACCTTTTTTCTATATTTTTGCGATGTTGCTTTGACCAGGGTTTGAACCCAGGCATTGTGGAGTGGAAGCGCGCACTGCTTACCACTACACCACAGCGGCCGAATAAATAAGTTAGGCTGGGTTAAATCAGTTAAAAATAGTATACCTAAACTAATATTTACAAAAATAAATTAAAACAATTTAAATATAAATAAATAAACTAAACTAAATACTAAAGAGATATAAATTAATAAACGTATAATCATACAAAGTTTCGTCGCCGCAACGAGCCCTGCGGATCAATGCTATTCAAGCTTCGCAAGCTCTGGCGTATGCTATTACGGCGCTGCAAACGTTGAGCGTGTCGCTGCTTCGATTTGGCATACCAACAGAAGGCGACCATTAGCAGCAAAATTATGGCCAAAATGAAGGCGGAAATTATGCTGATCGCAAAAATATCGGCGCGCCAAGAGAGTGGATCGATGACGACCTAGACGAAGAGAAGGGAGAAATAGAGTTGAAAGGTAAATAAATTGTGAAAATACGCCAAACTTACCCTTGGATCCGTTTCACAAATGAAACCGAACTCATTGCCGCAATCTTCCACCTCGGTTGTGGTAAAGGCAAAGCTCGTACAGCGATCGATGTGATTGAAGTCTTGGATCCACACTTTTTCGGGGTATCTGAAAAAGTGTTTTTTTGTTTTTTTTTTGTTTCAAGTAATTAACTAATTTCGTTAAATATTCGTAATTTATATTCAAACTCACTTCAAGTGGCGCATTTGTCCTTGCAAATACTTCCACAGCGTTGTGCTGTCGGTGCGTATGAAAGGCATCGTCGAGTTTTCGCTGCGGCAGAAGGCGCGCGCTTCATGGAATGTCAAAGGTGCGCCTACATAAATGAAGCAGGTATCCTGCAGCAGCGCCCAACCGGGCGGACATTTGCCATCGAGTATGGTGAGATTGTTCATTTGGAAGGGCACCGCTTGCACCTCGAGCAAAAGAGGATCGTCTGTGGTGTGGGATAAATGAATTTTTATAAGAATACTTTTTAATTCTAAAAAATTCAGTCACACCCACCTGATTTATCGCGTATGCGCGACTGCACCGATATCGTATTGTTATAGCTCCAATAGTTGTGTCTAGCATCGATCTTCGAGCGCCAGAGTTCAATGGTGCTGGGTAAGGTAAAAGTAAACAATTGATGAGCAAGATTTGGGAAACTTTTATATATATTTGCAAATTGATATTTATTTAGTTTTATGCTCTGCTTTAATAGATACAAATTTCTTTCATTTGTCTTTCACTTACCTATTGATCACATAATCAACATTCAAACTACAGTTAAGATTGGCGAGCGTGTAAGTAAACGTTTCATGCATAGTTCAGGCACGTAGTTTACATTAGATAGTTATTATGAAAAAGTGTGTGAAAAAATAGAAGTGACATCAGTTTAAGGTAGGATTATAAATATTTCGAGCGATGAAAGATGAAAAATGTTTTGGGTAACCGAGATTGCTCGGAGATTAATTTGTAATAATGAGCGAGTGAAGTTCCCTAAAATGTAGTCAAATATCCCATTTATTGTACTTACATGGAATTATTCACAGTTATCATTTCGTAATCATTCTCAGGATTCTCGAATATATTGTCAACATATTGCTGACCCGCTGTGCCGGCTACAATTGTCGCGCGACCCATCCAATTCGTAGCGACATTGCTGTTTGGAAAATAAGTAATAAAATTTGTTATGTATTAATGAAAAATGATTGAGGAAAACAGCAATAGTTTCCTAAGGGTAAAAGCTTTTTTTTTCTTCCACAAATAAACTTTAAGCTACACAAACGAGTTAGCTTTTTATCTGAAGACCAAACTATATTCCGCAGGATATGCTTTTTAAAGCATTTTATAAATTCTAAATGGACACACATAGAGTAGAAGCTCTCTCCGATCGTTACTGATCAAAATTGTTTCTAGGCTGGCTAACAAATTTCCACATGTCTAAGACCGTCGCGATTGAAACATATTTCGCGGGAAAGGTTTTTGCGCTTTTTTTGATGTTTAAGCATCTTAGCTCTCGGTGTGGGTAAAATTTGCGTCAACCCAGCAGAAAATTTGTAACTTCTTCTTGTGTGTACAAATGAATATTTCCACACTAATTCACGGCTATTTTAGGACCATTTCCGGGCTAGTTCGCGGCTGGTTTAGGACCACTTTGGGACTAGTTCGGCGCCATTTCGGGATTGTTATGTTCAGGATTATTTCTAATTAAGGAACATATCGGGATTACTTCGAAATCGTTTCGGGACTATTTGGGATACGTGCTGAACCATTTCGACTGTACTTCAGGGATGTTCAGCAACATTTCGCAACCAGTACGGGATCAGTTTGGGACGAGATGAGAATCATTTCGGTATTTAAGTGAGGTTAAGGACTCACTTATACATTTAGGAGATCGGCCTTTGTGTTACCACATTCTGAACGACACCCAATACTTAATCGATAAAACGCCTCAAGTCGATTATGTAATTAGGAATTCGGTTAATCCCAATGCCTTAGAGCTACTCGGGGCTATTAAGCATATGAGAGCCAAAGTAATTCAAACTTAGCCTCGAAAACGCTGGGCACCTAAGAAGGTAGTGTTGATGGCACCTCGACATCTTTTAGTCATACGGTTCTGGTAATATGTTTAGCATTACTGCGTGAATACCAATTGGACAGTGACCCATCCGTTAAAACCCGCACCAAGAGTGAAAGTTGTGACTTTGTAAGTGTGACATTTCGGGACTAGTTCCGGCTTATTTTTGAATCATTTTGGAACTGTTTCAAGACTTGTTCGAGACAACTTTTTCAACCGTTTTGTGGCCAGTTCAGGACCGTTTCGTTGCTTTTTCCGGACTCTTTAGGGACTAGTTCACGACTTTTTGAGGAAAATTTCGGGACTAGTTCAGAACTGTTTCAGAAACATTTGGGGACTATTTCGAGATCATTTTGGGACTATCTTGGAATTGAATGGTTGGAGATGCGTTCTACCATTCCATATGACACCAGTTCGATTCCTGGCCCAGGCAACTCTATATAATTGTTTTTTTTTTTTTTCTAAAAGTGGTCGCCCCACAGCAGGTAATGACAAACCTCAGAGTGTATTTCTGCCATGAAAAACCTCATAAAATCTTAGAAAAGCAAGACACCACAATTCCAAGAAAAAAGTTTGAAAACTTTATAATTTTTTTTTTTTTTAATTTTCTACTAAGTTTGAAACTTGCGTTCATATTATTTTAGTTATATAGAGAATCGGATGTCGTCATGCGATGAAATGTTAAACATACTAATGAACACTATTTTTTTCTTCTGGATCCATACTGTCTGTGGTGTCAAGAGACATTATTAGCCAAGGAAAGATATCAGAGACAATCAAGTCAATAAAAACTTGCAAATTTCCGGCTGTAGATAACATCTCTCCCTCCGAGCTTTAAGTAACATCTATCTGCTTTTATTAGCAAACATCTATAAGGCTATCCTAAATCTGTATCTCATCTAAAAACCGTGGACAATAGGGAAAGTAGTATTCATGCCCAATGAATTTCGACTTATTACCTTCTTATTCATAAAGCCCCTTGAAAGCGAGTGGGAAAGCATGTCAAATCTAGTTCAGACTAGACAAATATAGCTCACGCACCCTCATTACCTAATATAAATACATTGCAATCGAAGCGTCGAGTATGTTATCTGCAACATTATTTCGACTGTCTTTCAGACTTAAACTCATCAAGATTTTGCGATATTCAGCGCTTTATAAATAACACTACGTACTTACCTATAAAACCCATTATGCGATGTCGTCTGATAGATGGGCAGACGTACTTTCTCAAAGCCTGAAATTTCCACAATGCGACCACCCACATTGCTGTGCACAAAATTATAACTAAAGTTGGAAACCACCTGACGCAGTTTAATAATATCCTCAAAGCCAGCTTTGTTCTGTGCAAAATAA